TATGTTGAATTAGATGGGAAGCATTGTCAAATTAAAAAATGATGTTTGGGTCAGGTGTGGCACGAGCACTTTGTGAGGCCAAGGCAGGCGGATCACTTGAGCTCAGGGGTTCGAGACCAGCCTTACCAACATGGTGAAACCCTGTCTCTACCAAAACTAAAAAATTAAAAAAGTAACCTGGTGTGTTTGTGTGAGCCTGTCATCACAGTTACTTGGGAAGCTGAGGTGGAAGAATCTCTTGAAACCTGGAGACGGAGGTTGTAGTGAGCCAAGGTCGCGTCATTGCACTCCAGCTTGGGCAATAAGAGCGAAATTCCATCTTAATAAAATAAAATAAAATAAAACCACTTTAAGTCATTTTCACAGTGAATGGTTGAATTCTGATGTAGTTTCTAAAAACCTCAAAAGCTTGAAAATCCTAGAGTATTGTTTCTTTAACAAGGTTCATGAAAAGATCAAAAGGACCTAGATAAATTTAATACAGATTTCTGATAATTGTAGAGTCTTTTCTCCTTTTTTTTTTTTTTTTTTTTTTTTTTTGTGATAGAGTCTTGCTCTGTTGCCTGGGCTAGAGTGCAGTGGCAGGATTTTGGCTCACCGCAACCTCTGCCTCCCCGGCTCAAGTGATTCGAACACTTGACTTCAGGTGATCTTTGTGTCCCAGCCTCCCAAAGTGCTGGGATGACAGGCATGAGCCACCGTGCCCAGAAGGCATTATATTGTTTCCACTGCATAAGGATTGTGAGAATTCTAATGAAGAGATTGACTCTTGTGAAACTGAAAACCCAGCCACAACAGAACTTTTTTTTTTTTTTTTTTTGAGACGGAATTTCGTTCTTGTTGCCCAGGCTGGAGAGCAATGGCATGATCTCAGCTCACCGCAACCTCCGCCTCCTGGGTTCAGGCAATTCTCCTGCCTCAGCCTCCTGAGTAGCTGAGATTACAGGCGTGCGCCACCATGCCCAGCTAATTTTTTTTATTTTTAGTAGAGACGGGGTTTCACCTTGTTGACCAGAATGGTCTCGATCTCTTGACCTTCTGATCCACTCGCCTCAGCCTCCCAAAGTGCTAGGATTACAGGTGTGAGCCACTGTGCCTGGCGCACAACAGAAATTAATTGAATATTAGGAAAATATGTGTACTCTAATGTGGCAGGGTATTTTGACATTATACTAAATGGGCTGGTACTAAAGATTTTTAGATATGTCGTTTGAATAACCTGTGGTCTAAGTCAAATTACCTATGATAACCTCTCACTTATCAGTGTTATGCACCTATATTGGAGAAACAAACCTGGCATTTAAGGGAACATACGTTTAATTTTAAGTGTGGACTCTTGGAGAACCTAGACAGCCATCAGCCACTCGTTCATTCCTGAGTTCTTCAAGCTTCCATTAAAAGCTCTGCATTTCATTACTCACTACAGAAGAGATGGAATTATTGAAATTTAATATAAATCAAATGTTTGTGTGTTTGTGTGTGCTGATTATTCCTATAATAAATTACTAAAATAGGTTAAGACCAGTTTTTTGTGAAATACATTATTCTGAGAAGACAATCAAAACTCTATGTACATTTATGCTACCTGAAGGGCCATTTAAACATTTCTACACAAATTTTATCCAATTGTCATTTTTACTGCACGTTTTCTGGTAGTATAAAAGGTTTTTAATGCAAGAAGGCTGATGTTATAACAATAGCTAAAAGGATATAAAAGAATTGGTTTTCCTCCAGGAACCCCTTTCTGAAAATGTCTCCAAAATAAAGACATTTAGTTCACTAGACAATTCATAAAACTGTTAAGTAAGATCTTATAGCTACAATAGTTGTGCAAAGGTAACCAAATTGGATTGCTTTTGTAGTTGCAGATAGATGATCATCAGATTTACTTAGAGTAAAAAATAAAATAAAATAATCATCGGAAGGCCCATGCATTTAATAAAACCTCATGTAGATTGGGAGCAGTGGCTCACACCTGTAATCCCAGCACTTTAGAAGGCCAAGGCGAGCGGGTCCTCTGAGATCAGGAGTTCGAAACCAGCCTAGTTAACATGATGAAACCCCGTTTCTACTAAAAATACAAAAAGTAGCCGGGCATGGTGGCGGGCACCAATAATCCCAGCTACTTGGGAGGCTGAGGCAGGGAGACTTGCTTGAACCCAGGAGGGGAAGGTTGGAGTGAGCCAAGATCATGCCACTGCACTCCAGCCTGGGCGGCAGAGTGAGACTCTGTCTCAAAAAAACAAAAAAACAAAAAAAATCGCATGTGTTATCTGCTTCTGAAGTCTAGTGTTACTAAATGCAAGAAAGTTTCCAAGCATTATGGCAAAGCATGTTTTCACCAGGTAAAGAAAGCCTTTAATAGTCTACTTACTGAAGACAGTAAAACACTTTATAATCTAGATCCCAAACATTGAGTCTTCTTGCCATCTACACTGAAGCAAGACTTCAAGACTTTGAGCACTGGGTTGATAGTCTCACAACTCAGAAGGGCCTGTCCAAACCCTTGCAATTGTAAACCCATAGGAGATCTGAAACTAATGCTAACCAGGGAAGTTTCTCCTCAAAAGCAGATGGCTGTCTTGATGTAGATAGCTTTTTTCCCCATAAGGTCAAAAATCAAGACTGTCTGCTAACATGACAGTCTTTGGTTCACAGTTTTCTAATGGCTCTATAAACAACAGAGATATATATAAGGGGGTCTCATGTGCACTCATGAAATACAATCATATGTAGAGAATTTTGCAGCTAACGTTATCTATATAAAACTTCAGAGGCGGGTGGATCACAAGGTCAAGAGATCGAGACCATCCTGGTCAACAAGGTGAAACCCTGTCTCTACTAAAAATACAAAAGTTAGCTGGGCATGGTGGTGCGTGCCTGTAGTCCCAGCTACTCGGGAGGCTGAGGCAGGAGAATTGCTTGAACCCAGAAGGCGGAGGTTGCGGTGAGCCGAGATCATGCCATTGCACTCCATTCTGGGCAACAACAGCGAGACTCAAAAGTTGTTTTTTTTTTGAGACGGAGTCTTCCTGTGTCACCCAGGCTGGAGTGCAGTAATGCTATCTCGGCTCACTGCACTCAAACTTCCACCTCCCCAGCTCAAGCAATTCTTCAGCCTCAGCCTCCCAAGTAGCTGGGATTACAGTTGCCCAGATAATTTCTGTATATTTAGTAGAGACAGGGTTTCACCATGTTGGCCAGGTTGGTCTCAAGTCTCAAACTTTTGACCTCAGGTGATCCTCCTGCCTCAGCCTCCCAAAATGCTGGGATTAAAGGCATGAGCCACTGCACCCAGCCAAATTAACACCTGCTGTCCCAGCACTTTGGGAGGCAGGAGATGAAGGGCTAACGTGGGTAAGAAGTTTTAATGAGACATTTGTTGCCTCATAATATCAGAAACAGAATATTGATCCACTGCTTTTAACCTACTTCGTAAATTGTAAACAATAATACTCAAAATAAGTTTACAGAGCATTGCCCAGAGGCCGATATTCTTTTGAATGGGCATCATTTGTTAGGTCTTATTTCTACGGTTTAGAGTAAATGAGGCAATGGCTAGAAATTTATCTTCCATAGTAGATTTTATAGCAGATCATATTGTAAAAAATATGGTTAAATAGTAGAGTTTAAATTTTCTTCTTCTTCTTTTTTTTTTTTGAGATGGAGTCTTGCATTGTTGCCCAGGCTGGAGTGCAATGGCACAATCTTGGCTCACTGCAACCTCTGCCTCCTGGGTTCAAGAAATTCTCTTGTGTCAGCTGGGATAACAGACACCCACACCACACCCAGTTAATTATTTTATTTTATTTTATTTTTAGCAGAGATGGAGTTTCACTAGGTTGGCCAGGCTGGTCTCGCACTCCTGATCTCGTGATCCACAACCTCGGCCTCCCAAAGTGCTGGGATTACTGGCGTCAGCCACCACATCCGGCCGAATTTAAATTTTCTTACCAAAGTTGTATTAAATAATACAATTTTTTTTTGTTTTGTTTTGAGACAGGGTATTGCTCTGTCACCCAGGCTGGAGAGCAGTGGCACAATCTTGGCTCGCGGCAACCTCTGACTCCCGGATTCAAGTGATTCTCACTGCCTCAGCCTTTCAAGTAGCTAGGACTTAAATGCGCACACCACCACCCCCGGCTACCTCTTGTATTTTTACTAGAGAGGGGGTTTTACCATGTTGGCCAGGCTGATCTTGAACTCCTGACCTCAGATGATCCGACTGCCTTGGTCTCCCAAAGTGCTGGGATTATAGGCGTGAGCCACCGTGCCGGGCGTGTCTTTTGTTTTTAAACTTTAGCGGCCGAGCGTGGTATCGCCTGCATGTAATCCCAGCACTTTGGGAGGCGGAGGCGGGCGGGTCACCTGAGGTCAGGGGTTTGAGACCAGCTGGCCAAAATCTTCAAACCCCGCCTCTACTAAAATGCAAATAAATTAGCCAGGCGTGGTGGTCCGTGCCTGTAATTCCAGCTACTAGGCAGAACCATCGCTGGAACCCGGGAGGGGAAGGTTGCAGTGAGCCGAGGTGTTGCCATTGCACTCCAGCCTGGGCGACAGAGCAGGATTCCTCCTTTTTAATACAACACAAAATAAAATGAAACAATCGCAGGCTGCCTGCTCAAAGGACCAAAAGCCAGGAAGTTTATAAAAAACTGAAGTTTAAAAAAATAATTTTTATTGTATTCTTTTAATATGTGAGCAGCCATACAGTATATAATTTACAGATACACAAGGCCTTACACACAAGGCTAAAGGCAAACACCCTCTGGGGTGGACCTGGCTCAGCTCAGGAGGAGAAGCCCTGCTTGAAAAGGCTGCACCTTCGGCTGTCACTCTTTCTTTAATCAGTCAGCGTTTGGTCATGTCTTCTGTCACTCAGGCCTTGGGTCTTAAACCTTATCCAATGAGCGACGCTTCCCTGAGAACCGTCCAATCAGGCACGCAGCTGGAGCGAAAAGGGCGGCTTCTGGGACGTGGCAGCGGCTTTGTGTCTTCGCTGCCACTATAGGCCCAACCTCTGGGCTTGTGACCTGCTGGTACTGGAGATCCACACCTAAGATGCCAGGACCCCCTGGAAGCCTAGAAATGGTGTGAGTGCCGGGTCCGACCTCGGGGAAAGGGTTTGTTGGAACCGGTGGGAAGTGGCTGTGGCGGACTCATGCATCCCCGCAAACAGCTCCATAATTTGTGCCCGGAGTCCTCCTTGCCCAGATCGGCCTCAGTCGCTTTCAGCAATAAGATGGCGACTGCACAGTGATTGTGTCCTGGCCTGAAGCCCTCTCTGGGCAGCTCTGCACCCGCAGAGCTACCTCTCTTCCAGATTGTCTCTCCCAGGGACCACGGGAGGGTCGTCAGGGGAGAATCCTGACTCCGTTGCAGGTTATGAATGGGAAGACCTTTGGTTTGGTTTATGGGGTTCTCAGTTTCTCTTTTTCTCTTATTAAAAATTTACGGGAGTTATTGAGAAAATGTTTTTTATGACTGGGTGATTTGAAGCAGAATTACGAGGCTTTGCTTTGAAAATGCAACCAAGAAAAACAGTAGGGAAAATCTCTCCTGCATTTTGGCTGTAGCAAATGAATACATTTCCGGTAAGGCGCAGTATCTCACACCTGTAATCCTAGCACTTGAAGAGGCCAAGGCCAGTGGATCATCTGAGGTTGGGAGTTCGAGACTAGCTGGCCAAAGTGGCAAGACCCTGTCTCTACTAACAATACAAAAATTAGCCAGGGGTGGTGGTGGGAGTATAGAATCCCAGCTACTGGGGAGGCTGAGGCAGGAGAATCGCTTGAGCCCAGGGGCAGATGTTGCATTGAGCAGAGCTTTTGCCACTTTCACTCCAGCTTGGGCAAAAGAGTGAAACTCCTCAAAAAAAAAAAAAAAAAAAACCATTTACACAAGAAAATGTGGTAGACAACCGGTGAGTTATGTAGAGTCATAAAAATATCACTTCCTCTTTTTGCAGGGTAAATTTGTGACAGTGAATATCTCTGTATGTTATCTTGACTTCTGAGTTTCATGCTAAATTTTATGAGATAAAACTTGTTCTTGTTCTGTATCCTGTTATCTTGACTTCTGAATTTCATGCTACATTTTATGAGATAAAACTTGGTACCTCCTAGAAATTTTCCCATATGACTAATTGTTTACTATATATTTTTAATGAAAAAATTTAGAATAACACATATATTGTCTGAAAGGAATAGATACTTTTGCTTTTCTCGTTGAAGTGTAAAATGTAAGCACCTTATAATTTCATCCCTTTAGATAAACATTGTTTGAGTAATGTTGCTGAATTTTTCACACACGTAGTTACAAAAACAAAGTTAATAACTGTGACATGGAAATCAAAGCTTGAGCCTAGTGCCTCCAATCTAAGGCTTATATTAAACCTCCCAAAGAAGGTTATTAGCAGCCCAATTAATTGTTTTCTAAAGAGCCTCCCTTGAAGATGTCCCAGCCTAGTCACCCCAGCCGTGGAAGAATCCTTTATACTAAGAGAAGCGGCCGGGCGCGGTGGCTCACGCCTGTAATCCCAGCACTTTGGGAGGCCGAGGCGGGTGGATCACAAGGTCAAGAGATCGAGACCATCCTGGTCAACATGGTGAAACCCCGTCTCTACTAAAAATACAAAAAATTAGCTGGGCCTGCTGGCGCATGCCTGTAATTCCAGCTACTCAAGAGGCTGAGGCAGGAGAATCGCCTGAACCCAGGGGGCGGAGGTTGCGGTGAGCCGAGATCGCACCATTGCCCTCCAGCCTGGGTAACAAGAGCAAAACTCTGTCTCAAAAAAAAAAAACCTAAGAGAAGCTACAGAACCCTGTAAAGCTGGGTACCCACAGGCAAATGCAGTTAAGGATAAGAAGGAAAATAACTGGTAGGATTTTTGTGAAGATGAAGTTGTTATTGTTTTGAAGCAGTTTCTAGACTGTTTAACATAAAGCAAAGTTAGATTTATGTAAAAAAATTAAATTCCAGCTGAGAGCAGTGGCTCACACATGTCATCACAGCACTTTGGGAAGCTGAGGCAGGTGGATCACAAGGTCAGGAGTTCAAGACCAGCCTGGCCAACACAGTGAAATTCCAATTCTACTAAAAAGACTAAAATTAGCTGGGTGCGGTGGCACACACCAGTAGTCCCAGCTACTCGAAAGGCTGAGGCAAAGAAGGATAGCTTGAACCTGGAAGGTGGAGGTTGCATTGAACCAAGAATATGCCAATGCACTCTAGCCTGGGTGACAGAGTGAGACTTTGTCTGAAAAAAATAATAATAATTAATTCCAAAGGAGTATTCCAACAGAAGAAAATACGTAATATAAGATCTGTAAAACTTACAAAGTCAGACAGACAAGGGCTTTCTTTTATAGAAAGGAACAAATAAGATTACAAAGAAGGTAGAAGGTAAATAGCAAATGAGAGGTGAAAAAATCAGATTCTACGTTAATGTTTTACCCTGAAGTCAGCATGTCCTTAGGAAGGACATAACATGGGGTTGTATTTTGACTCAGATTGAGTGTAGCTGAATGTTCAGGAGCCTGTGGGCAGGAGACAAACTTAAGTGAATTTTGATTAAAAAGTCTTTTCTTTTGACCACTGAAGAAAAATTCAGCAAATTTTTTAAAATGAACAGAAGAAAATAATGTGCAGAGTCTATGTTTGGCTATGTGATAGATCAGAAAAAAGAGCCCCAAGTAAGTCATAATGGAAAGCTTGTTTCTTTCCATAAACAGTTTCTGGAGAACACAAAAGGTTAGAGAATTTTATTAATCATAGCTATTTACCAGGATTATCTATGTACTTCATCTTTACCCATTTTTTCTTTTCTATTGCTCAAGCAATCCTCTTCTACTTTAGCCCCTTAAGTAGCTGGGACTGCAAGCATACACTAGCAGGCCTGGTTATTTTTTTGTATTTTTTGTAAAAATGGGGTTTTGCTCTGTTGCCCTGGCTGGTCTCAAACTTTTGAGCTCAATTTACCTGCTTCAGTCTCCCAAAGTTCTGAGATTACCGTGTGAGCCACCATGCCCAACCATAGAATATTTTCTTTATCCAGTATACAATTGCTAAGTACTTAGGTTGATCCCATGTCTTTGCTATTGTGATAGTGCTGCAATGAAGATGCATATGTCTTTAGAATAATTTACATTTTACTGGGTACATGCCAAATTATGAGGTTGCCAGGTCAACAGATAATTCTGTTTTGAGTTCTGTGAGGAATCGACACATTGCTTTTCACAATGGTTGAACTAATTTACAGTCCCACTGGCATTGTATAAACTCTCCCGTTTCTCTGGAACCTTGCCAACATCTGTTCTTTTTTGACTTTCTAATACTAGCCATTCTCACTGGTGTAAGATGATATTTCATTGTGGTTTTTCTTTGAATTTCTGTAATCATTAGTGATGAGCATTTTTCATATGCTTATTAGTCACATGTATGTCTTTTTAAAAACATCTTTTTCATATTTTTTGTCTACTTATTAATTCAGGTCTTTTTTTTCTATAAACTTAAGTTTCTTATAAATTATGAGTATTGGACCTTTGTCAAAAGCATAGTGTGCAAATGTTTTCTTTTATTCTGCGTGTTGTTTGTTTACTGTGTTAATGATTTCCTTTGCTGTGATGAAGCTTTTTAGCTTTAGTAGGTTCCATTTGTCGATTATTGTTTTTGTTACAGTGGCTTTTGGCATCTTTGTTTTAAAATTTTTGCCAGTTTCTAGGTCTAGAATGCTATTTTCTAAGTTATCTCACAGGTTTTTTGTTTGTTTGTTTTTAATTTGAAGTTTTCCATTTAAATTTTTAATTTATCTTTTTTTTTTTTTTTTTTTTTTTTTTGAGACAGAATTTCGCTTTTGTCACCCAGTCTGGAGTGCAGTGGCATGATCTCGGCTCACCGCAACCTCCACCTCCTGGGTTCAGGCAATTCTCCTGCCTCAGCCTCCTGAGTAGCTGGGATTACAGGCAGGCACCACCATGCCCAGCTAATTTTTTTGTATTTTTAGTAGAGATGGGGTTTCACCATGTTGACCAGGATGGTCTCAATCTCTTGACCTCGTGATCCACCCGCATCGGCCTCCCAAAGTGCTGGGATTATAGGCTTGAGCCACTGCGCCTGGCCTAGTTTATCTTAAGTTGATTTTTGTGTATGGTTTAATGAAGGTTTCCAGTTTCAATCTTCTACATAGTGCTAGCTAGTTATTCCAGCACCACTTATTAAACAGGGAATTCTTCCCAGATTCCTTTTGTTAGCTTTGCCAAAAACCAGATGGCTGTAGGTATGTGACGTTGTTTCTGGGCTCTCTCTTCTGTTGAATTGGTTTATAAGTTTGTTTTTGTACCAGTACCATGCTGTTTGTTTACTGTAGCCCTGTAGTATAGTTTGAATTCAGGGAATGTTAATGACTTAAGCTTTGTTCTTTTTGCCTAGGATTGCCTTGGCTATTTGTGCTCTTCTTTGGTTCCATATAAATTTAATTTTTTTTTTTCAACTCTGTTAAGAAATATTTTCAGTAGTTTGATAAAAATAGCATTAAATCTGTAATATTTTTTGGCAGTATTCCCATTTTAATAATATTGATCTTTTCTATCCATGAGCATCAAATGGTTTTCCATTTGTGTCTTTCATCTCTGACTTCTTTAAGCAGTGTTTTGTCAGTCTTGTCATAAAGATCGTTCACCTCCTTGGTTAGCTGTGTTCCTAGATATTGTATTCTTTTTGTAGTGATTGTGAATGAGATTTTGTTTTTGATTTGGCTTTCGGCATGCATGTTTTTGATTTACCGAGATGTGACTAATCTTTGTACATTTATTTTGTATTTTGAAATTTTACTGAAGTTTTTTGTCACTTTAGAAAGCTTTTCTACCACCATTGTAGGGTTTTTCAGATACAGCATTATATTGTTTGTAAACAGAAGTAAGTTTGACTTCTCTTTCTGTTTGCATGCCATATATTTTTTTATCTTGCCTAATTGTCAGGCCCGGACTTCCAATTTTATGTTGAATAGAGGTGTTGAGAGAAGGCATCCTTTTCTTGTGCCGGGTTTCAAAGAGAAATGATTCCAGTTTGTGTGTGTCCAATATGTGGGCTGT